TTTCTCTGCTGCTGCTGCTTGCTGTCTTGGGCCATTTCTGGGGCTGCAGCTCCCTCCTCGCTGTCTCCTGAGGGTAAGAGACTCTCTCAAGGTAGGACCCTGGATCCTGCGGATTGTTCTACGCCCGGTTCTCTCTTGGTGGTAGTGAGGTCCCCTGTTCCTGCTTCAGAGTGGGCTCATTTTAAAGCTCGCATTTTAAACCTGAGCAATCCTCTTTAGGATCCGTGCACCTTATTTGACTTCTTAGCAAGCTGTCCAATCCCCTTGGTGGGCCATAAACACCTTATTTGCATAGTCCCACCCATTCATTTTGTGGGAGTCACGAAGGCTATGCCTAGAAAGGCCCCATTAAGTAATTCACTGTCTCTGGAAGGGTGACTCAGGACAGTGATGCTGTTTCTGGCCTTGTGTCCTAGTTGCTTTGCTATCGCGAGGCCATCTTGGGCCCTGAGTCTCCCAACACCTGGGTGCCTCAGCTGTCTGGCTCTTTCTGTCTTCTCTCTAACCCAGTCCAGGAGCCCTCCTTAGGGAGAAAGGATTCAATGCTGTGGCAGGTGCCTCTGTGCTTACTCTTCCCTTGGCTGCGAGTCTGTAATGTTGAGGATCTTCTGTAGCTTTTGCCCCGTTCTTCCTCTGCCCCAGCATAGAAATTGCTGGAAGACCCCACACCCCTTGGAGAGCTGGGCACCTGCCCCAGAACATCAAGAAACATTGTGATTCAGAAGGAGATCTATGTAGGAGATCCTGGATAGAGGGGGAGAAGAATGTGGAAGAAAATGCGAAATCATTTTTGAAAAAAAAAAAAAGGACCAGGTTTGCTGATCTGATAGAGCCTGATAGAACCCCTGAGACTGGTCCCTAGCTGCCCTTCAAGTCTGGAATTCAATCCCCTCCTGTGGCTTCCATCTAAACAGAAGACAGGCATATGAGCTGAACATTTACCTGAGGTAGATACACTCCTTGGAGAGAACAATCACGGGAGAATAGAAGGGCTGCTTATGCACAGGGAGACAGCTCAGGGGGCAGGAGTACATGGAGGGATGGACACAGGGAAGAGGTAACTATGGGAAGGAAGTGGGAGGGGAGCTGTTGCATTGTGGGGAATTGTAGTCAATGTTATGAGACAAAGTGTATGTGAGATGCTGTATAGAAAGTGAATTTGCTCTGTAAACTTTCACCCAAATCACAATAAAAATTTTTTAAAAAAGAAAAAGAAACATTGCGACAGCTTTCAGGTCCCAGCAGGGATGCTCAACTAATCTCAAATATATGCACTATTCTATCTGTAATGCTCTGTGTCCTGATAGCCCTTAGCAATGGAAATAGGCCTCCTTCCACTTTGCTCAGAGCGTCTTTATCTGGCCCAGCAAGTCTTGGATGCAGCAAAAATTTTGAGAGCCAGATTTCTCCTACATCATCCCGATCACTCTTTGCACCCCATGAGGGCATTGGTTTTCCAGTCTCTCTACTGCAGGATGATGCACGGAGAGATTTTAAAAATCACGTGGTAAGCTTTCTGGGCCATTTCCTGTTTCTGATTTCACCTTTCTTCCCACACAATCAGAGCATGGCCGTGGTGCCAGCAGGCAGCAGACATGGGAAGCGGATCACTTTCATGTAACGGAACGCTGATGCTGGCCTGGGTGCCTTGTGTAAGGAGCTGCCTTCATGTTAAGAGCCAGGCTTAACTGGAGCCTGCTCCCTTTTCCTTTCAGGAAAGAATGTGCATCTAGAAATGTCTTTTGAGCACCAGTGTTTCTCACAGCCTTTTACCTTTTAAAACTTGTTTTCATTACTGCAAAACCATCCCATCCAATAAAATCAGGGCTATTAGTGATTGTTGGATTGAAAAATGTTGTAAGGTGGTGGTGAATCATTGGAAAACATCTTGAGTACTTTTAAAATTTACAGTATGTAAATGTGTATTCATTTGACCAGACACATTTATTTGTCATGTTGCTTTTCCTTCCTTGTTTGTTTCCTTTAAGATAGATCTCCTGAATGGCATTTTGCATTGCTTTTGTGGCGTATAATGCACCCATTAAGCCAGATTTCTGATCTTTCAAGGTGAACAAGGACTAAAGACAATCTGAAAAGCAATTTGAACTCCTAATCTTTGTGATTCTCCTAGTTTTCTTGCAAGGATACCTTCTTAAACAATCACCTGCTAACTGCAAGGTTGGTAGTTCAAACTCACCCACCTGCTCTTTAGGAGACTAGACCTACCAATCTGCTCCCAAACAGGTTGCAGCCTGAAAACCTCTGTGGCAGGTGTGCTCTGTCATGTGGGCACACCATGTGTCAGAATGGACTCCAGGCCACTTTGCAGCAGCCACTTGATTTAGCAGCAACTTTTCAAGAGACTTATCCCTTGAGTTTATTGGAATCATTCAACTTCATTTTCACATAAAACGCAACTTTGTTTTCAAACCTATATTTTGCCCTTTTATGTAATATTTAAGTAAATGTTGTGATTATAATAACAGTGCAATAGTGAAGGAATACACACAGCTATATATATGTGTCTAGGGAGCTCTGGTAGCATAGTGGCTAAGGCACATGACTGCTAACCAGAAGGCTGGCAGTTCAAACCCACCAGCCACTCCCTGGAAGGAAGATGGGGCAATCTACTTCCGTAGTGATACTGCCCTGGAAACCCAAGGAGGGGTCGCTATTTGTCGGGTCTGACTCAACGGCACACAACAACAACAACAACATATATATGTGTCTGGAAGCTCTGCTGGAACCTGGCCACCATAGGTGACCTGCTGGTGCTGGAAATACTGATGGCATAACCTCCAACATCACAGCAACCTGCAGGATACCACAGAGCAAGCTGAGAGACGAGTGGCGGGGTGGAAATATAAGGCATGGGTATGGGCTGTATTCTTTGCTATAGTGATGACCCACCAGCCACTCCTCGGAAAGAAGATGGGGCAATCTACTTCTGGGGCAATCTACTTCGGTAGTGATAGTGCCTGGCAACCCAAGGAGGGGTCGTTATGAGTCGGGGCCCACTCGACAGCACATAACAACAACATAGTGATGACATGCTAATGCCACTAGGGGAGTGATTAAATGGAAATAGGTGATGTCACCATATAAACAAGGAACCCAGCTCTATTGTTGTTGTTGTTGTGTGCCATCGAGTAGACCGCGCGACTCATAGCGAGCCCTCCTTGGGTTTCCGAGGCAGTATCACTATGGAAGTAGATTGCCCAACCTTCCTTCCAAGGAGTGGCTGGTGAGTTTGAACCGTCGGCCTTCTGGTTAGCAGTCAAGTGCCTTAGGCACTATGCTACCAGAGCTCCTTTAGAGTAAAAAAATCCGTTCTAATTTGTCTGTGTTGGGTGTAAGGGATTTTGCCTATGGGCACCCCTTAAATCAGCACACGTATCTTTCCAAAGGAAGAGACCCAAACTTGATTGTGTTGGATCTTCCCAATCAGAGACCATCAACATGTTTGAATTAGCATTCAATGCAGTGCTAGCAATTAAGCGGCTATTGTTGCTTGCTGTTACTAATTAGCTCTTTACTTATCTCTCAAAGATGGCAGGTTGATGAGCTCCCCATTTCTTAGGAAATGAGACAAAGTTTTATGTATGTCTGGGAGGAGGAAGCCAAACTGGAATTCAGTGAATCTGAAGTTGCCCACCCTCCTAATATCTTTCAGCCAGTCTGGGGGAGGATTGGGGGAGGTGAGGGGGCTCCTGGTAACTATATTCAGGAAGTTACAGAAGAAGATAGATTTAGCTTTACAAGGTTCTTCTTCCTGGCATTCTCTGGAGTTTTGAGCTGATCATGTGGTAAATTTAGTTCCACACAACTGTGAGGCTGGCAGGGGAAGAAGACTGGGCACAGAAAAGAGGGGAGAGAAGCTTCTTTGCAGTCCTTCAAAAAGATGTGTTCTCTCTTGTCAAAATGTAATCAGTAATGTCAGCAAAGGAATGCGGTGCTCTTAGCATTGTTTATCAAATAGAAAGTTTCCTTCTGTGCGATAAACAGGGTATCAGGGCCACAGTGTTTAGATGTGTGGCTTATAAAGTGATGAGAGCAAAGTTAATACTTAAACCAACTCTGAGGGTTGAATTTGAATTTCCTGCAGAAGTGCCAGCACCATGCTCTGCTACTTCATGTGGCTACTATGCCCTGAACATTCTGGGACCTCAGGAGACATTTAGTGACTTGACAGGTTCTGTTGTTCCTGCTTTATGTCTAATTAACCATTTCCCAACCTAGCATCGCCCACAAAGGGGGTATAAATGCATCCACGATGTCTTATTCACAATAGAGTACTAGTCCTTATCCTTTAGAACAGTTTTTGAAAAGCCCCAAATAGTTTGTTAGCTTTGTAAATAGATTCCACAGGAATTTCATTATTAAGAATAATGAAAATAATAATAAAAACATTACATATTTATTGAGCTTTGCACACCTTACATCCAGCATTTTATTTAATCCCAGCAGTAGCCACACAAGGCAGGCTTTATGACTCTTATTTTAATAAGGGAGCTGAAGTTGAGAGTGTTTTGCAGTTCAGGCAAAGCCTCACAGTTTTCAGACAGGACTGAAGTAAAACCCAGGGATGCCTGACTTCAGAACCTGTGTTCTTTTTTCAAGTCACCAATTATCTTTCACCTCCATTGTACCTTCTTTGTCCTTTTGGGGGTGGATGGGGAGAAGGCATGAAATTATCCATTAATATAATTATTTGGACCAGTTTTTTCCTGTGGTTTTGACATAGAACTTACTGCACCAATCATCACCCTCTGCTATGTTTAGATTTCAAGTAAAGAAATGTGTTTGTATTTACTGCAGGATCTTCCCTTGGCTTTTTACAATGCACTTTGGGAAAGCAGCACAGAATTAAGAGCACCTCAGCAGGGTGGATTCAAGCCCTAGTACTTTTCCTGGATTGCACCTGTATTAGGAGAATGTTAGCACTCACATCCTTCTACCTGTGAGCCTGCAAGAATAGGAAAGGAAGGCAATTTATAAAGGATTATCTCATGCAAAGGCCATATTTGTTTTACCCCAGAGTTTCTCATTCTTCCACAGCAGTGGTTTTTTCATAATATTTCTGTATAATAGAGTTGTAGAAAAATGACCTTAGTTGAGTAAAATGTCATGCGTTGAGAACATATTCAATTTTTTAGAAATTTTTATGATTTTAATAGATTTCTGTCATATATTAATTTTAATTTTTTTAAGAACAAAGAACACTTTTTTTCTTTTGAGTAAAATACCCTAACAGTGAACACCCAATTGAAAAAATAGAGGATGGACAGATCGGTGAATCCCTGGGTGGTGGAAGTAGTTTTCACTGAGCTACTAATGAAAAGGTTGGCAGTTCAGAGCCAGCCAGCAGTGCCGTGGAAGCAAGTTCTGATGAGCTGGCTCTGTGAGATTAAAACACCGGAAACTCCCTGCTGCTGAGCTGGTC